GCGCTTTGGGAGGAGACTGGCCAGGAGGCAGGCTCAGGTGCTGATGTTCTGGGACTGCCTGGATCTCAGCCTGGTGGGATCTCGGTGGGATGTAAGACGAAATTCGAGTGTGGGGTTCAGCTTTTATCCTCTGGGTGGAAGAAAGCCCCTGGGCTGACATCTGTGACTCTTAAAGACGGTATTAAAGGACATCGGTTGTGAAGTCAGAGAACCAGTCGGGAGAAACATGGTCCTGGGAAGCTCTGAACTGCTGAGGTTTCCCTGGAAAATGCTCCCGGACACCACAAATACTCCTGGTCACCATAGGAGCTCCCCAAGAATAGAAGTGACCTTAGCAGTCCTGCTCCCAATGAGTAGGATGGAGAGGGCTCTGCCTTGAGGATTCCAGGCCTGGGGCATAAGGACCATGGAGGCCTGCAGCAGCAGGGAGGTGGGGGCATCTTGCAGCCCCAGGCGTCCCCAGGCCAGGTTCCTCCATCTGAAACAAATACCTGCCCTGGAGGGTTTTCTGTTACTCATTCCAGGGTCCTATTTCTAGAGCCATAAATCTTTGGATCAAAATCATGAATTTTCCAGGGTATGATTAATGAAAGAAAAATTGAGACGGCAGCACAGAAAACTGACCCTGATTGAAGAAAGTCAGGGTCACAGGCTGGATGCAAGTTTAGGGCATAGCAGGCCAACTCAACAAGCTTCTGAACCAGACACCAGCACCACCTAGTGGTCACATGGGGTACTGGCATGCACCCCTTCTCTCTACAAAGCTCTGAGGGTGACTATGGGTCTGTGAAGGCCAGAATCCTAGGATCCTTGACCTGGGCCTTACTTGAGGTCGCTCTGGTGCAAAAGCTAGCTCTGGTCACCTACAGATCCTTGAATCATTTATGGCTTAGTAATAGCGTGTGTGTGCACTTGTGGGCATGCGTGCGTGCATGCGTGTGTGCGTGCATGCGTGTGTGTGTGTGTGTGTGTGTGTGTGTGTGTGTGTGTGTGTAGTCTGGGCCACCTTTCTGTTTTCCCACTTATCAGAATTCTTTTCAGTCCTTAAGCCCAGCTCACTTTCAACACTGCCGACCTCCCATTGGACTATGTCTCATTGTCCTGCATAGTCACCTGGCCTATGGCCACCAGCTCTCCCCAAGTCATTGTAGAGGTCCTTGCATGCGCTAGCTGTCTCTTGCCCTCAGTGGCCTCTTCTGGGAACAGTCGCTGTCATGATTGTCAAAAACATCTGTTGGATCATGGCACACTCCGCCCTGGGGCAGAACACCTGAGTTCTCCCACCTTCCAGGTCCTGTTCTGTCTGTCCCCTGGCTGCATTGCCTCTTTTCTGTTCTGACACATGTCACCCTAGCCATTCTGTGACAGCCACATAGCAGCTAACACTTGCTTGGCAGACAGGCTTTGTCCCAACTGGAGGCCTTTTAACTTGATGTACCCTTTTTCTGAACATTTTCTGCATCTGTATTTATATCCACACTTCGTCTTATTTCATCTGTGCTTGCATTGGTCGAGTGTGTGTGTGTGTGTGAGAGAGAGTGTGTAAGTGTGTGAGAGTGCATGTATGAGTGTGTGTGAGTATGAGAGTGTGTGTGAAAGTGTAAGCGTATGTGTGAGTGTGTGTGTGTGTATGAGAGAGTGTGAGAATGTGTGTGTAAGAGTGTAAGTGTGTGAGAGTGTGAGTGTGTATGTGTGTGTATGAGAGTGTGTGTGAATGTTGTGTGTGTGACAGTGTGTGTGACAGTGTGAGTGTGTGTGAGAGTGTGTGAGTGTTGTATGTGAGAGTGTGAGTGTGTATGAGAGAGTGTGTGTGTGAGAGTGTGTATGAGAGTGTGTGTGTGAGTGTTGTGTGTGTGAGAGTGCGCATGAGAGTGTGAGTCTGTGTATGAGAGAGTGTGTGTGTGAGAGTGTGCATGAGAGTGTGAGTCTGTGTATGAGAGAGTGTGTGTGTGAGAGTGTGCATGAGAGTGTGAGTCTGTGTATGAGAGAGTGTGTGTGTGAGAGTGTGCATGAGAGTGTGAGTCTGTGTATGAGAGAGTGTGTGTGTGAGTGTTGTGTGTGTGAGTGTGTGTGTGTGTGTGAGTGTGTTTGTGTGTATGAGAGAGTGTGAGTGTGTGTGAGTGTGTGTGTGAGTGTGTGTGTATGAGAGAGAGTGTGTGAGAGTGTGTGAGTGTTGTATGTGAGAGTGTGAGTGTGTATGAGAGAGTGTGAGTGGGTGTGAGTGTGTGTGTATGAGAGAGAGTGTGTGAGTGTGTGTGAGAGTGTATGTGAGAGTGTGTGTGTGAGGGTTGTGTGTGTGGGGGTGTGTGTGTGTGAGTGTGTGTATGAGAGAGTGTGAGTGGGTGTGAGTGTGTGTGTATGAGAGAGAGTGTGTGAGTGTGTGTGAGAGTGTATGTGAGAGTGTGTGTGTGAGGGTTGTGTGTGTGGGGGTGTGTGTGTGTGAGTGTGTGTATGAGAGAGTGTGAGTGGGTGTGAGTGTGTGTGTATGAGAGAGAGTGTGTGAGTGTGTGTGAGAGTGTATGTGTGAGTGTGTGTATGAGAGAGTGTGAGTGTGTGTGAGTGTGTGTGTATGAGAGAGAGTGTGTGAGTGTGTGTGAGTGTTGTGTATGAGAGAGAGAGAGAGTGTGTGTGTGTGTGTGTGTGAGTGTTGTGTGTGTGTGTGTGTGTACGTACGCACACGCCCATGAGAATCTCCTTTCCATCTAGGCAGGCATTGGCCAGGACTGTTTACAACTTTCTCCTTGGCCTGGCATTTGACAACCCTGTGCCTGGTTAGAGTCTGTGGGCTGTATGAACAAAGGAAATGCAACTCCCAGAAGCCGATGCCCTTTCCCCTCACCTTGAGAGCCTAACTGTGTGCGTCCGTTCCCCACAGTGAAAGCAGCTGGAGAGTGGGAGCTGTACTTACCTCAGAGAGCCAGACCATCAGCATCGCCCAGCACCCAGTAGTTGTTGTTGAAGTGCCTTTCAACAAACAATGCTCCACATTTATTAGTTTTATTAGTCAGGGTTCTCTAGAGAAATAGAACTTATAGAACACACACACACACACACACACACACACACACACACACACACACACATGGGATTTATTAGAGTGGTTTATAGGCTGTGGTCCAACTATTCCAACAATGACTTTCTCCCCCATGGAAAGTCCAAGAATCCAGTAGTTGTTGTTCAGTCCATGAGGCCAGGTGTCTTTAGTATACACAAATGGTCTTTAGTATACACCAGAATCTGGAAGAAGCAGGCTCGAATATCAGTAAAGGAGTGGACTGGCCAGCAATAGGGAGGGCAAGCAGGCCAAGAGCAAGTACTCCCTTCTTCCATGTCCTTCACATAGGTACATAGGCTGCCACCAGAAGGTGTGGCCCGTATTTTAAGGTGAATCTTCCTGCCTCAAAAGATCCGGATTGAGAGTGAGTCTTAAAACTTCAAATGATTCAGTCAAGAAACCTCCTCACAGGTGTACCCGGACTCTTGACTTTTAATTCTTGGTGTAGTCAAGTTGACACTGAGAATAGCCACTACATGAGTCCATGGGAAGGCATCTACACCCCTACAGTTTGTAAGGTCACGGGCCAGGGCAAACAGAGCTGAGGGGGACGGTCACCCCTGTGACTCTCAAGTTCTTACCACTCCCCCTTCCACTATGCATGGAGGATTCCTGCCTTCACCTGCCTTCACATCCATCCAGCCTTGGTGACTGCTCCCTCCAACACGTGTCTCTGACCAGGACAGTGACTGCCTCTTCCAAACCCCTGTCGCCATTAGTTGGCACCACTGCATACCGGTAGATGCTGCATTCTTATTGCTCCCAGTCAGCCAGAATGGAGGCCCCTGGAAGTCAGGTCTCTGACGTGGCTGAAGCTTTTCTAGTTCAGGACACTACGCTGTAGGGTACTCAATACATATTGGCTGACTGATGGATTGACTCCCCAGACTCGGCACACTTCCCCGAAGCTCAGAGGGAGCAGAGAGTGTCAGTTAAACGGAGCATAAAGCAGTGTGGGTGTGGAGATTGGCAGCTGTGAAAGGAACGTTTTCCCATGTGGAGATGCTGGTTTTAGTCATAGCTCCAGGGGTGTTGGTGAAGATGGCCAGTTTACAGGTCTGTCATGCATATGGTCGGCTTAGTTCAGTGGATGGAGGTGTGTGGACCTTACTGCTTTGAGAAAATACCTGACAAAAGCCATTGCAGGGTTTTATTGTGGCTCACCGTATGAAGGGACAGCCCTTCTCTCTCAAGGTGGCAGTGGGAGCTAGGAGGCCGCTGATCACACTGTGCCCTATAGTCACGGAACAGAGAGAAGACATTGGCGTTCTGCTCCTTTCTGTTTATTAACCTCAGACAGGATTGGTGCCATCCACATTCAGGAGGAGGGGGTCTTTCCACCTCAGTTAAGGCTTTCTGGAAATACTCTCATCGACATACCCAGAGCTGTGTTTCCATGGTGGGCTCCCACAGATGACAATGAAGATTTACCAGCACAGGAAGACAGCATGGACTTCTGTGGCCTGCCCCTTAGCCACAAACTTGTTTTTTAGACTTCAGATAAGAGTGGGTGTGTGACCCTTCTGTGCAGGGTAGTGGGAAATACCCACTGAAGTCAGCTCTGAGAGCCAGTGCCCTGGGTTCTCTCCCATAGACCAGTCCTTCCTTCTCCAGTCATACCCCGGCCCCGAGCCTCCCTTCTGAGCATGGGGGTCTTCTCTGCCCAGTGGAGCAACCTGAGTTGCACATTTGTGTATTTTTCTGTCTTTCCTTTGTCTCATTTAACTTGATCTCCAGAGAGATCTTGTGAGGTTTATGAAGCTGCCTCATCCCATTTGCAGGAGGGGAAACTGAGGCACACAGTGGCAAAGTGGGTGTGTCATAGGCTTTGGATCTTTGCTGGTACCTGCTTTTTGTATCTCAGTGTCGGGTGGGGTTTTTCGGGGGCATTCTGAAAGATGAATGCAAGAGCAATGCTGTGCTAACTGGTTTCTTCTCTCTCCAGCTATGTGGCTGTGGACTGCTTGGAGTGGGCATCTGGCTCTCCGTGTCCCAAGGCAACTTTGCCACCTTCTCCCCCAGTTTCCCCTCGCTGTCTGCAGCCAACCTTGTCATCGCCATAGGCACCATTGTCATGGTGACAGGCTTCCTGGGCTGCCTTGGGGCCATCAAGGAAAACAAGTGTTTGCTCCTCAGCGTAAGTTGGACCCCATGTCCCTTCACTGCTTCCCGGGGCTCCCTAAAATTGCTTCTCTAATTTCCTGTCGCTAGCCCTAGCTGTCCCTCTCACTCTGACTTGTGGGCTGTCTGGGTTTGCTTAGGAGCAGGTGAGCCCTCCCAGACTTGAAAACCCTGCCCATCCCTTGTCTCCGCTCCATTCTCTGTCAGTGCCTGCCCCTGGCCATCGCCACTGTCGTGAAGTCATGTCTGAACTTATCTTGCAGTTCTTCATCGTGCTGTTGGTCATCCTCCTGGCAGAGCTGATCCTGCTCATCCTCTTCTTTGTCTACATGGACAAGGTAAACCTGCATAGGGGAGCAGCTGGAAGGTCACAGCCCGGGGGATGGAGCAGGCCAGCGGAGACACTAGCTAGCAGAAGGTGCAGAGGGGTATGCAGGAGACCTGAGGGTCCCGCTCCAGCCACTTCCTCTCCCCATCTAGAAACACTGTGCCGCCAGCTGACCTGGTACGGGCTAGGGAGGAAGGCCAGTGGCCTGGTCCCAGCCAACTTGTGGTGTTGCCCCTGATCTGCTAGGTGAACGAGAATGCCAAGAAGGACCTGACAGAAGGGCTGCTGCTCTACAACACCGAGAACAACGTGGGGCTCAAGAACGCCTGGAATATCATCCAGGCTGAGGTGCAGCCCGGGCCGCTGCATGGCATGGGATGGGGAAAGCCACAGGGGACCTGGGGTGTCCGGGGGAACCACTCCTACTAGGGCATTTGCCTAACCTCAGAGAGTCAGGCAATACCATGGGATAGTACTGAGGAGGGGTGAAGAGGTGAGTTCAGGAGGCGACAAGACCCAGATGCAGGAGTGGACAGGCCTAAGGAACTGTAGTGAGTGGTTAAGCTTTGTGATGAATGACAGGAATCACCAGGTCCTGTTGCTCAGGAGACAGACCCTGATACCGAGAGGAATACAAGACTCTATTCTCTCAGAAGTACCCCACATAGACCCTAGGGGGGAATGGCGGGTGGGTGGGCTGGCAATCAGCTAGGGAGGGCCAGCACCACAGAGGAAAGAGCTTAATGTGCCAGTGAGCAAGTACCGGGCTGGGCTCTCCTGCCCCACATCGTGCCCAGCCCCGAGGGACAGCAGCACTGCCCCCATCCCCCGCCCTGATGGTCTAGGAAAGAAGAGTCACTTACTGCTTCTGGGGGCCTTGCTGCAGCTCAGAGGGGACAAGAAGAAGCCCGTTTTCCTCCTTCCTGCGCTTTGGTGGCTGCTTTGGTGGGGTTGGCCTGGAAGAGGAACGCCTGGGAGGATGGGGCCAGCGGTGGCATATCCGGCCTCCTTCCTTTCCACAGATGCGGTGCTGTGGAGTCACTGACTACACAGACTGGTACCCAGTGCTGGGAGAGAACATAGTGCCTGACCGCTGCTGCATGGAGAACTCTCAGGGATGTGGGCGCAACACCACCACCCCCTTGTGGAGAACGGTGAGGCTGGAGAGCAGTGCCCCAGGGCTCACTGATCCCAGAAGCCTGTGTACTGGGCGTGCCTGGCTGCGGGAGTGATGGGAATTAGTTCACTGTGGGATGGGGAGAGGGGCATACTGGAGTGGGGCCAGTGGCTGTGTGTGTGTGCTGGCCCCACAGTTGGGAGGGAGAAGGTGAGGGATTAGATGGGCTGAGGCTATGCAGCTGGATTTTGCAGGTGCAGCCTGGGAGTTGGAGGTTGATATTAGCGTTGGCGGGACCCAGGGCCTAAGGGGTAATAAGGTACTGGAATTAAGAGTGCAGACAGGGGCTAAGGCAAAACGAGAGGGCCAGGCCAGCGTTGTGCCAGGACCTAAACCTGTGGTTCACTCCCCAGGGCTGCTATGAGAAGGTCAAACTGTGGTTTGATGACAACAAGCACGTGCTGGGCACAGTGGGAATGTGCATCCTGGTCATGCAGGTGAGGGGACCCCGGGCACCCTGGGCACCCCGGGCACCCCGGGCACACCGGCCTCTGGGCAGGATTAGAGCCTGGGCCGCGGTAACCTGGTGTTTACACAGCCTAAGTGTGTGAGGTGTGCAGAGTGTCCAGGCCCAGCAGTGTAGCCACTGCCATGCTGCAGATCTCTGAGTGAGGTCACAGGCAGTGAACAGGTGGCACTCAGTGCTAAGTGGGGGCCTGGACTAGTGGGAGGAAGCCAGTGTCATCCGATGTGCTCTCCATGAGAGCCAAAGGTATGCAGTGTCCCTGGGTCACCAGCTTTCTATATGGGTGAGGCCACCAGCGCCTCTGCCTGCAGCTCTGTGCCCCCACCTGCTCCCAGGATTCTGGTTGAAGAGCATAAATGAGATTTAATGTTGTTCCAGACACTTATGTTCCGAGAAATTGCTTCATGTATTCTCGAGCCAAACAGAAAGTGTTGGCCTAAGTTCTAATGACTCAGCACCCCTGCCTCCTTCTTCGCTCTCCCACCTCAGCTCCTCTCGCCACTATGGAGGGGCAGGTCCTGTATGCACCCTGACCTCTCCCCAGGCCTCTGACATGTTAGCATGTGCGTATACTGGGGCTCTGTGGCCTTCTGCACATGCGACTCAAAGGGGCTGAAGTGCACCCATCTTTGTGCAGTTCCAGGCTGGGTCTCCAGGGTGGCCTCCTGCACTGTGCTTTCTCTGTTTCCTGGCCCGTTTTCCAGCATACCGGGTTATGCACACTTTTACATTAGGTTCTCTAGAGCAGCCCCAAGCTTGTGATACTGAGGTCAGACCCCAGGGCACAGGAGCGTCCCTTTAAAGTCTTCTCCCTGTTTTTCAGATCCTGGGAATGGCCTTTTCCATGACTCTGTTCCAGCACATCCACCGGACGGGTAAAAAGTATGATGCCTGAGCGTTTGGCGGCGCCTGGCCCCACCGGGACACTGTATGTGCCAGGGGAGAGGACCTAAGTCTGTGTCTCCTGTCTGCCCTCCGATGGCCACCCTGCCCCACCTGCCAGCCTGCCCTCTCCTGCCCACATCCTTGGCCTTGGACCTTTTGGAGGGTAGAGGCCCAGGGAGGAGGCATCGTGCAGAGACCTCAGGGCTTGGGCGCCTGGATTCCTGCACCTGCATATTTGCCAAAGACGCCAGGGTGGGCAGGGTGTCAAGGAGGAAGCCCTGGCATTGATGGGTTTCTGCCCCTGCCCTTCCTCACACTGACACTTGTCCCTGTGTGGGGTGGAGAGTCTGCCTCACCAAGGCCACTGCCGTCCATGTGCCCAGCCAGAGAGCGGGCCAGGGTGCAGGGTGGCACCACCAGGTCAGGCCCCCTGGAGCACCCTGCCCAGGTTTTTATACTATAGTGTAACTTTTTTATTTTACTCTGATTATGGTTATTCAGGAATATTATCTCTCAGATAAGTTTAGGGTTAGCCTTCTGATTTATAACTTTTTACTGTGTTGATTTCCATAATGGTTTGAGTTTCCTTTTCCCATAGGTGGGGAGGGGTAGGGAGAAAGGACCCCCATCCACTTTCAATGAGTACACGCCACTGTGGGACACTCATGAGGCCCTAGGATGAGAAGTGCCAGGCTCTCCCCCAGAACTCACCTCGAGGGAGAGGGTACAGCCATGATATGGGGCCCTGCCAGGCCTGGCAACCATGGATAGGGCCAGAAGAGGCAGGTGTGATATAAAGCATGGCGTGGCATCCTACTCAGGGGTGATAGGGGCGGTGCCTGAGCTGGGGAGGCCACGTCAGTAGGGGATGCTTAGGACACGGGGTAGTGAAATGGTTTGCTGGGGGGCGGCAGTCAGAACAGTTTGTGGCATTTCCCTGCCTCCCCCCAGTCCTCTGTAGGCTCCCCTCCTGACCCGCACATGTCCTGCATCCCAGATGGTCACTCTCACACATTCCTGCTACGGATTCCTCTGGTTCAGATACAGCTCTACTCACCCTGCTCTGGGCAGTGGAAGCAGATGTGTTCAGCTGCCCAGACAAACGGTCTCAGGACTACCAGGAGGGGAGGCAGAGTTGGCATCTGTGGCCAGCCCCAGACTCACTCAGTTGCTGACCGCCCTGCTGAGGGGAAGGGAAAGGGCCACGTGGGTCTCAGGACCCTCCCTCCTTAGGATCCATCGCTGTCCACATTGGGTGGCAGGCATCACATCCCAGGTAACCTCAAAGAGACAAGATACAGAAACTGAGAAGTCAGGCTCACATTGCCACAGCAGTACTGGGGAGAAGGCCCTTGTACTGGATGCCCCGTGCTGGGCGTAGGAGAAGGAGGCAGGCCATATTACCAGATGTAGCATCAGTCCTGTCAGCACTGATGCCTAGTGTGCCCTTCAGTGAAGACAGTAAAGGCAAGGCTGTGGGAGTGGCCCGGCAGCCATCTGGGATCCAGGATGCCACTCTCCAGGCTCCATGTGGTAGCTGCTTTTCTCAAGCCACTTCACTCCTTACCCCTATCTCCCACCTAGCCAATCTATAACCCCTCTGAGTATCTTGAATAACACACAAGGCGGGGCCAGGGATGTGGAACTTTCAGTGTGTTCAAGATTCAAGTTTTGACTGGGGGTGGGGGGGTGGGGGTGGGGGCCCCAAGATACAGAGTTCAGGTTGATCCATTAAACAATCAGAAAAAACAAATGTGGTGCCTGCTGCACAATGAGTTTGTGTGGGTGGTGTGGGTGGGTCTTCCATTCACATCAACAGTACACCGGGAAGCATTTAACCTTCCTGCCACCTCACGTCCCTAGAGTGCTTCAGGTGGTGCTGGGCCCCGCAGCCATAGCTCAAGCCCCCCACCCTCACCAGCCCACCCCAGTTGTTTGTTCAGCAGGGCCAGATCACGAAGTCCCAAATGCCTTCTTGCTTTTTAGCGGTGTGTGGTTGTGTAGTCATCTACAGAGTCTGCATGGGGCAGAGGTCTCCATGCACAGGGTGGGTGTCCTGAACCCCGTGCTTGTCTCGGGGAATGGCCCCCATACACTAGATGGCCACCCTGCATGAGGCCATGGGAGGTGGCTCAGCTATCCTCTGACCCTCTTGGCTGTGAGCTCACTTTGGACAATCCTGCCTTGAGACCTCTCTCACCTGCGCTTCCCTTGCCTAAGGCAGAGCTGTTTCCTCCAGGTCCCACACAAGCGATCTGCAGACCTGACTGGGAATGTCCTCTTGGTTTGCACGTGGCTTCAAGGAAATGCCTGACATGGCTATGGCATTTCTCCACAGCTGAGTGGAAGAGGGGCTTGGTAGGCAGGGTCTGGAAACCACTCTTGGGTGACTGACAGGTGTCAGGGTGCAAGTCTCCTTGTGCGTCTACACTCTCTGAGCTGGCACAGTGTCACCCTGTCTCTACGCCAGCCTGGGCCAGCACCTCAGCTCTCCCCCTTGCACATGTTCTGGCCTGACTTAGAATTGAGTGTCTAAGCCTCCAGGGTCTTCAAGTGGATGGAATTGTTGTCCCCTTCTCTCTGACCCCCTGCCCACCCGCTGGTGGAGGTGCTAACTAGCAGGGACATGGCACAGGACAGGGAGCTGGGTGCCAGGTGCTTGGGTATCTGCTCTTTGCCCCTCAGCCCCTTGGTCTGGTGTCCCCTCTCATGTTCCTGTTCTCTCATTTCCCTTCCCTCCTCCATTATGATGGGGTCCTGGCCTCCTCTCCCTGCGTGGGCACTCCGAGGAGTCAGGCTTTCGGACCTCCACTTGCCTTGCTGTCCCTGGGTGGCTGGAGAGCCAGGAGTGCACGCTTATTGGTTTCGAATGCACTTTCTGCTTGCAATGCCTTGTCTGCATCTCCTCCATCCCAGGCCCTGCTTTAACAAACACCATGTTTTTAGCATGTTTTTAAATAAAAACCAATAATGTGTCAAAAGCACAAACAGACTGTCACTTGGTGGTGTGTTTTCTTCCCTGAGCCATGACCAGGACCTGTTTCATGCAGCTGTTGATGGAGGGGCCCAGAGGAAGACCCCTGTTAGAGGACCTCATCTCTTCTTGTGGCCTGGGTTTCAGATTTGCCAGAGCGGATGGATCCCCGTCTCCTCTGTGGAGGCCTAGAGAATCCTAACACATACACCTGTCTGGTAACTGATGCAGGCCTAATCAGGAGTTACCAAGTGACCCAGGCCTTCTGCATGAGAGGCTGTCATTCCACCTCAGAGACTGGTCACCCACATGGCTGGTCCTGTGGTTACATAGGTGAGAAACAGGTCCATACTTCCTGTAGGGGAAAGCTATTAGGATAGGTACACCCTTGCCCCAATCCCTCTGGTGTTCCTGAAGGTTCCTTTGAGCCTGGTGTCTTTTCCAGGACTGTGGGGACCTCAGGATGTCATTTCCAGGTAGCTCCAGACAGCCCCCAAGAAAGCCTGGGAACAAGGGACTGTGAGGATAGTCATGGGGGAGGCAGAAGCATAACTTGATTGGCAGGAATGTCAGCCAATCCTGTGAGCCTCAAAATGCTTCCCTGGTGTGGAAGTCTCCTGCTGTCTCAGTTGGGTTCTGGCTCTGAGGCTTTCTTAGACTGATAGTGAGAAAATGCAGTTGTGGGCAGCCCAGAGTTCTCTTTGCTCTGAGCCCCTGAGTGCCATTATCTCCAGGGAGGTGGTAGAGATGGGATGAGCAAATGCAGGAGTCTCGAGGCTGAGATGGAGGCAGGGCAGCTCCAAGCCCCTCCAGATGTGTAACAGTGTCTCCCTCCCTCGAGGGAGTGGTCAAGTTGACACCAGATTGTCCCAAAGCATCCATCTGCAATGGCTTGCTTCCAACATGTCCAGCATGTCCAGAGCTTTATCTCAGGTTTTCCATAAAAGCCAAAGGTCCAGCTAGAATGGCTTCCCGTGAACCTCCCCAGACTTAGCTAGAGTAAGGAGTCAACTGTTGAGAGTCAACTAGGTCATAGGAATTGGCAAGGAGGCCACTTCTGATCTGTCTATTTGCTCCCACACCTGCCCCCAGGGTGTGGCCACATTTGCTGGTATCTGCCAGGCCAGTTCACAAGCAGTGGGTATGGTAACCTTTTTGTTAGTACTTTGGGCAAATGAGCCAAGCCAGAATAGTCAGTGATCTTCTGGAGTCTTCTAAAGACAGGTCTGAAGTCAAGAGGATGGGTCCTAGCTCTTCTGTCCATGGGAGGGGGGAGCTTAGATCACTCTGGAGACCCCCATTAGCATATGAAATTGGAGACCAGCCGCCCATCTGTACCCAATGAAGGCAAAAAGGGCCAGCTCAGGAGCAATAGCTAAACAGGCCTGGTACCCACTGACAATTGCTACCAGACCTCAGAAGCCAGATCAGGGGCAGCACAGACAAGATGTCAAGTCACTGACAGACATGAATTCAAACTTAACCCCAAGCACCTACTACAAGGGGTATGTGTCACAGAGCTAACCTTAGACCACAGAGCCAGCCATCTAATGGGGCCACAGGAAAAGCCCCACGATTTCACTTGGATACTAGTAATGGTATTCTCAGGGTTCAGGGTGGCTATGGGAATCAGGCAATGACTCCCAACTTGCCCAGTGAGAGACCTTCTAGAGGAAATACTGCTGAAGCCAATAAAGGAATGGTTAACTAGTTAATAGTAATCGTTGATAGTAACTAGGAATTGTTAATAAGGGAGTGTCTGAGTACAGTGGGTAGAAGGGGGGTGTCTGGAGGGACAGACCCCTCTCCCCTGTACAACCTCATGAACCAGCTTAAGAGCCCAAACTTCCATGCAGGAAGAGTAGAAAGAACTTCTGAGGTTTTAAGCCCAAATAGAGGTGTTTAGCCTCAGCCTCCAGTGAGCTGTCTGGCTGCAGATGGAGCATGGTCAGAGGGGAGAGAATGGCTGTAGGGGTTTAGATGGGGGATGATCCCCAGGGACTCATCAGATCTGCTGGGGAGAAAGAAATAGTGCCATTCACCACCACATCACACCGAACCTGGACAGGCGGTGACCAGTTCTGTGCACTGATAGATGCGTGCATTAGTTCCCTCAAGAAGCACCTCAGGGAAGGAAGGGTTCATTTGGGCTCACAGTTTGGGGTGCAGTGCATCGTGGCAGGCCAGACATGGCGGCAAATGTGAAGGAGTGGGCCATATTGTTTGTAATCAGGAAACAGAGAGAACGAATGTTGGTGCTCAGCGTTCTCTTTTTGATTTGGTCCAGGATCCCAACCCCGGTGCCATCCACATTCAGGTGGGTCTTCTCAGTTCCCTCCTCATGGCAGAGGTATGTTTTCATGGTGGTTCCAAATCCAGCCACGTTGTCACTGAAGATGAACCGTCACAACGAGAGATTGCATTGTCTGGCCCAGAGTGCCAAGAGGTGGCAGAAGTTCTTGTGTTGTCAACATAGTTGGATCTCTCTGTGTATTTGTATTGAACTTCAGGCTTGCAAAATACTCCCCCAAACATTACGACCCTCCTGACCCCAAACGTCTTCCTTGTCTTCATGCCTAAGTTTCACCATTGGAGATACACCATGGAGAGTGGCAGGGCCGTAGTTTGGGAATTAGAAGATCTGAAGTCACTTTCTACTCTGCCCCTGGTGTCCATGGGGGCCTCAGTCAGTCTCTGGACTTTTCTTGATTTTGCCATCTGATAGTTGAGAATAATGTCCGTCATACAGATCTATGAAGATGACCTAAAAAAGTTCATGTGCTACCAAGCTTTATCCAACATAAAGAACAAACCCCTGGGTGGGGGTGGGCGGGATGGCTAGTAGTTAAGAGCACTGACTACTCTTGCAGAGGAACCAGGTTTGGTGTTCAACGCTCACACATTTTCTCTGGTATTTGGAATCTAGATTTTATTAGAAGACATGAAAGTGTAAGGGGGACAATAGAAAAAGGAAGGGACCAGTGAGAGGGAAGAGAGCACAAGAGAGGGTAATGTGATCTGAATATTATGACCAAAATATGACCTAACTTATTTTTTATACCACGAATGCACACT